TATAATACCCCCCACACAACCCTCAAAGGATAATCAGTTGAGGTAATGGATGGATGGACTAGTTTGATCAGGAGAGCACATACCTCCATCAAGGCCCAACATTCCCCTTACATTCAATCAAGCAGCACCAACTACAGTATAGTACTTCATAACTATTTAAGCTGAAGGTTTTTTGTTACTTCACAAAGTGGATCAATAATACAGTGGCATTTTATTGACAGGCAGATAATGTGAGTGAAAATTAATCATCCTAAAAATAGATCCTATTTTTAAATAAATATATGAATGTCCTGTAGAAGTTTCACTTTTAATTATACTTTTTCAACAACAGGAGGCCTCACTGTTGAACCTTCTCTTATTGGAGATATTTAACAAGGAATCACTCACTCATTTTTCTCAGTGTACCTATTCTTATCAGAACCCCTGTCTTATCTATAGCTATATATCCATATCTATACTGTTATATCTCACTGTAATGTGATACTTCCATGTCACACTGTGTAGACCATTGTTTCTATTTTTTGCACATTAGAATTGCCTGTGCATGCACGGTGGGTGTGCTTGTACTTGTACGTGCACTGACACATACATCTATACTGGCACAACAGGTCTTTTTTTCAGATTTAGACACGTCGCAACAAGAGAAGCACAGGTGTAAACGGATAGGAATACTGATGTCTAGTGTGATTGTGAGTGTTGGCTCTCTGTCACAGTGTCGTCACTATATTATACTCAAATAGAACAGAGCCATGGTTAATAATACCGATACTAATACTACTAGAGATATTGATAATAATGATACTTTTCCAAGTATGACAAATCAAATTATCTGCTTAGAAAAAAAGTCTATTGCTCGGTTACTTTAGTGCATGTGTTTAGAATATTTTTGTATAATGTGTAAATATTTGTCCTGGTATTGGGTGCATGCAGTTTTGTTTTTCCGTTTTTTGAGTACATATGTGTGCCTGTGTGACCCACAGAAAATGAAGCCATTGCCACCTAAACACGCCCAGTCAATTGTCTTTTTTAACCTGGTGTCCTTTGCATGTCAAAATAGTTTTACTTAATTCATACTGTTGTATTAGGGTTATTATTATTATCATTTATTCATATTTATTCATAATTAGGTGTCATGCATGAGTCCCTGCATTGAGTTAGGGGCTGTTCTATTCAACCACCAGGTGGCGACATTCAATTACCATTGTGAAAGCTCCAAGCTTTTACATCATGTTCATGGACCCTAAATGTGCCCCCACAAAGAAAGCTTCAAAATAATGAAGATAAAAAGAGAATTCAACCAATACATTATAACTGACTGATACATTTGTTTTCTGGTGATAATATCATTAGATCACAGTTACTGAAACATGTGTACCGTGACTGTTGTATATTGATATCCAACCTTAAAACCTGAATCCTTCACACATGAGGTCTTTAGCAATAATTTCCATGAGCTGACAGTGATGTAAAACAGCGATAAAACCCAGCTGACATTTCTGTGGCCTGTAGCAGCAGCGCCGCTCCACTCCCGCCTTCTCTGTCTCTTTTTTATTTGCATTTCCCTCAAAGGAAGAGCAATAAATGAGTCTAATCACTTGGTTAACTATTTTTCCAAGCTTGCAGCGGAGTCAGGAGAAATATTAGAGCATAGATAGTAAATGGAGCAACATTACAGCTGACGAGGGCAGGATATGGTTCTATATGTGGTTCTGAATGTATGTGGGATGTTTAGTGGACACAGCCACTCAGAGACTTCTCTCTCTGGAGAGATTTATGCCATCAGAGCACACCTCATTAGTGGTGCTAGTGGTCCTCAGCTTGTCTTTCCTTTCCTTTACTTTCCAGTAGTCCTCAGCTTGTCTTTAGTTTTCTTTCCTTTCCAGTGGTCCTTCAGCTTGTCTTTAGTTTCCTTTCCCTTCCAGTGGTCCTCCAGCTTGTCTTTAGTTTCCTTTCCCTTCCAGTGGTCCTCCAGCTTGTCTTTAGTTTCCTTTCCCTTCCAGTGGTCCTCCAGCTTCTCTTTCCTTTCCTTTCCAGTAGACCTCAGCTTGTCTTAACTTTACTTTTCAGTGGTCCTCGGCTTGTCTTTAGTTTCCTTTCCTTTCCAGTGGTCCTCAAGATTTTAGTTTCCTTTCCTTTCCAGTGGTCCTCAAGCCCGTCTCCAGTTTCCTTTCCTCTCCAGTGGTCCTCAGCTTGTCTTTAGTTTTCTTTCCTTTCCAGTGGTCCTCAAGCCTGTCTTTAGTTTCCTTTCCTTTCCAGTAGTCCTCAGCTTGTCTTTCCTTTCCTTTCCAGTGGTCGTC